TTAGCGAGCGTTATCAAATTGGAATAAAGTTTTTTTTTCGAGTTAATAACTAGTTTAACAAAATCAGTTAGCTGAGTTGTTCTGGTAGCAACAGAACAAAATGCCTGTCAATAGACGTTTTTACCACAAAATTTTCCGCTCTAAGATTTTTTCGTTTTATTATGATTTTTTTTTTCGCTTCAAATTTCTGCTTAAATGGTTTCAACTGATGCATGAAACAAAAATGCATCAGTCGAAAACGATTAAGCGGGAAAAAAATTTCGTTTAATTGCCTGATAATTTGTCTTTTGAAGCTTTAAAATTTTAAAATTGTTTTTGTGCTTACGGAACGGTAGGCAGGGGTGGGGGCATAAAACTTTGGAGCTTTTTGGGCTCAAAATGTTTCGCTCAATTTTGATTTTTTTTCGATTCAACAGTCGCTTAATGAAATTTTTTCGTTTGATGAAATGCTTAAGGCTTATTTAACACTGGAATGAGTGTTTCTCAATATTAATCTTTAAATTTATCCCCAACCAGACGAATGTTCAAAAATAAAGTTTTCGTATGTTTTTTAAACAATTTTTTTCGACTCAGCTTGCGTCGATTTTTTTGGGCCAGCTGCCGTGCCATTTTTTGTTGTGTTGCAAGTGGTGCGAAGCTACGCTTCGCCTCTGCGTTCAAGTTGTTTCAAAAAATGGTTGGAAATTTTTATTATCTGCTTTTGAAATAATTCGCGAATAGTTTTTTTGTCACCAATTACGTTTTTTCAAATAATTGATTAATTGTTTTCTCGCCTATATTGCGTAACGACCGCTAACCGATCCAGGTGATGAACTATCGGCTTGCAGTATATTGCCGTTTGTTCCTACGCTTCATTTTATTGTCTTACTCGTTTATTTATCTTCTTCCATTCTCTAGTAATGCCTAAAATTGTCAGCTTCTGTGCCCCTGAAATCTTTTTTTTTTACCTTTGCCAATAGCAAGGTGGTTGCAACCGGTAACTATTGATTTTTCCCCGTGAACAATTTTGTTGACATAATGATTAAATTTGGTGGTCATCTTCAATTCTGTACTTTCATCAATCGAGAGACTAGTTTCGAGCTGGTTTACAGTTTAAGTGCCCGTTCTATACTTCATTAAGTGATTGAAAAAATTACCAAAACTGATTTTTTTCACTCTTCATGATTAGTTTCAAAAGGATTTGACTTATGTTATATAGGCTTTGCGGTCTCATTTCGTGTCGTTTGATTAGCAAAAGAAGGTGTCACGTAAATGTTTTGAGGGGACAATTATTGTTTTTTCTATTATTTTATTTTTTTTCTAAATTGTTTTTCGGCTCAACGTTTGTCTGCCCTGGTTTTATCGGCTTTATTACCGCGTTGAAAGTTTTTAAGTTTTTTTGATGCTCAATTAGCAGTAATTAGTCTTATTTGGCTTTTTTACTTTTTATCAGAAGGAAATTTATAGAAGACAAAAAGAGAGAAATTCCGGTAGCTCAAATTTTAATCATTTTTTCCACTTTTTTGACATTTTTCAAAATAATTTTGGCAAATTTTGCGTCATTTTCTGTCGATTAACTTGACCTGCAATATTTGTGTTCTATCACAATTGGTGCGAATCTTCGTTTTCCCTCTGTTTTTTCTGCTGTTCTACTTTTGTACGAATCAATTTTTTGTCTAGAAGTAGTTTAATGTTTATTTGAAATCATGAGTGATCATTTGGACACTTTCACGAAGTTCTCAAAAATTTGAACTCTCGACTGAAAACATCACGGTGACTCTTTTAAACCAAAAACGTGAAATGGTCGGAGGCTATCCTGATATGCCAGCCTTTAACCGCCTTGTTTGTACAACTAATAGCAGCAGTTTGTTTGTTGTCGGCTTATCTTCTCTAATCTAATGAAGGTTTTGTTGGCGTGAACCCAGTTTTTCAGTCGCTTAAGGATACAGCTCGATAATGATTAGAGGGAAAGCTGATGTTTTTGTTATTATTTGAAATTGAACTCCGAATGTTTTGATGGACACTGTGGCTTGATGATAAGTAGCACGCTTAAGTTTCCTTTTAAAATTATGAAATTGCAGTTTGTTTGAAATCAATCTGATTTTTTTGAATTTTGTATGTTTTCATGAATGTATGAGTATAGATAATCAAAGCTGTCTAACATATTGACCTGAAAACTCCCAGGTGTTTGTATAGTTGTCGCATCACATCATGAACAAAAAATCACGGTTATTTAAAACATTTCTGTTTATAATTTTCTGATTGTCTTTGGACTATTCTGTTCTACTCGAACTGCAACTCGCTGGCTTTGTTCCTTTCGAGTTACGCTGACTAGAAATTTGAAAACATTTTTGGAAACATGCTTAGATGTTTTTGCAACAGAGATGCGGCTCTGTTCGTTTCTTAGGGTCTTAGATTAGCTCCAATTATCGACAATTGACGGGGCAACTTGTTAGTCTTGGGGGAATCAAGACCGTTTTTCGAAATTTCTACGCAATTAATATGTTAGTTTTGTCTTCAGTTGTAGTTTTTCAAATTTCAGGTTCAAGAAAACGTTTCATTTCTTTTCACGAGTGTCTTTCATTCGAGTTCTTTCATTCTTTTTTTCACGAGTGCTTTTCGAGTTCTAAAATTATTGTACGGTATAGGAAGATTAATGCTGCGCGAAATTTTTAGTTGTCAATTTGAAGTGCGGATTTATTAGATAGGCGAACCTTTGATACTATTTTGTGCCATGAGTTTTGTGTCTGAGCATGCCTGATCTTTTCTGAAGCACATTAAGTGCAAAAGTTATTACGTTTTGTTAAGTTATTGTTCCGATCACTAAAAGTGGGGAAGAACTTTGTTCTTTGCTTTTGTTTTTTTAATCAAAATTTTAGCACGCACAAAAAAAAACTTTAAAAAAATTAAAACGAAAGGACATTAAAATCAAATCATGTTTCGCTATATTAAATTTTTGTACCGGCCGCTAAAGTTTGTACTGGCAATAAGTTTTCTTTCGGGTTGTGTTTCGCTTTTTTTCAAATGTTCATAGCATGCGCAAAAAACGCAAGAAATTTAAAACAAAACAAGGTTAGTCGGTTACTCAGCACATAGCACAGAACATTCCGACCATAGTCTTAAAACAATATTTATTTTTTTCTCAAATTAGTGTCGTTTTTTCGGCGAGCTGTGATAAAAAATCTGAACGAAAGCATGTTTGACAGTCAAAGTAAAATTGGAAAACGAATTTTGTGGAAAAATGACAAAAACAACAAAAAAAAACAAAATTAACTTTCCTCGAGTAAAACTAAGTTCTTACGGCTAAAATAAAGCTATTGTAAGCTTTTAGGCCATTGAATAAGCTATTGCAAGCTTATTTATTTGCTCGAATTAAGACAAAAAAGCAAAAATTTCAAACCGGTTTTTCCAGACACTAGGAAAAATGTTTCAAGATTTTTTAATGTCGTTCGAATCACGGCTAAAAGGGCTCTAGTATGATATATCAGTGAGCTTTTTCCGATGATTATTTGTGGTAGGTGATTTTGCGAGCGAAACAAAAAAAGACAAAAACTCCACCAATAGAAAGTTCCTCCCCATTTTTCAAATAGTCCGAACAAAAATTCTAAAAGCAAATGAAGTTCAAACAATATAACGCTTTGTTAAATTTTGTTCCGATCACTAAATATGAAGAAGAAATTTTTCTTTCATTGGATTTCATTTTTTTACCAAGTTTTTATTACGCACAAAAAAAATTGAAACAAAAGCACTTTAAGTGCAAAAATGATATTTCCCCTTTTTTTAGATTTGTTCCGGACGCTAAAATGTGAAGAAACTTTGTTTTTGGCCGGGTTTCGTTCTTCGAATGTTAAGAGCAGGCACGAAAAAACAAAACAAGCTTAAAACAAAACAAGGATAGCCGGTTACTTTGCAGATAGCACAGAATATTCCGATCACAGTCTTAAAAAAATAAGTTTTTGATTCCATAAAGCGCTAAAATACTAAAAACAACTAAGTTGCGTCGAGTGAAACTAAGTTTATGGCTTAAATTGAGCTACTGTAATCTTTTAAGCCATTAAATATGCTATTGCAAGCTTATTTATTCGATCAAATTAAGTCGAAAAACCAAAATTTCAAACCTGTTTTTTTCAACACCTTGCAAATTTTTTTCAAACTTTTTCAATATCGTTCGATTTATGTTGAAAAAGCTTTAATATGATATATTACTGAAATCTGCGTGAAAAATTAAAAAAAGAAAAAACTAAAACACACGCGAATACTAAATTCCTACACCCCTTTCAAATGGTCGGAACAATAATTCTAAAAGCTCATTAAATGCGTATGTCATTAAGATTTGTAAGTTATGGTTGAGACCACTTAAAATGGAGAGAAGTTTTTTCTTCGGCTATGTTTCGTTTTTTGAAAAAACGCACAAAAAACAAATTTTGAAAGAAAAAAGAAAATTAGTTTGTTCATGAATGAAGTCGGAATTCTTCTGTTCTAGTTGCACAGCCACCGGATGCTCCTGTGATTAGTATGCTTTTGCTTTGCCTGAAAGTCTTTGAATTTAATGTTTGTTTTTGTTGGTTTTGATTCACATCACCAATTTTAAACAATTCTTACTTGAATAGGAAAAAACTCTTCTGTATCAATTTCCAAATGGTTGAGATGATATAGCTGCCTTATTTTTTTCGCTGTAAAATCTTTAGTCAACAATTTTTTCTATGATATTATAACTTTTTTTTCATATTTGACAAACAAGTAGTTACGACTTGTTTGTCAAATAAGTCGCACATTTTTTGCGTTGTCGCAAAGCCTGGCGACAACGCAAAAATTGAACTTCAAAAGTGGTGGGGTTTGTCGAAATAGCAAAAGAGCCGAGTTTGCATTTGGTGCAAATTTTCTTCTCATATTGTTAAGACTGCTTTATAAATCAGCTGCTCAAAATAATTTCCAAGTATGAGCTTATTTTGTTGTTTAGCAAAGCTGGTAACATCAATTCAGTTAATAAAATAGAGTTGAAATTGCATTATACTTGTGAATTTGAATTAGAATTGTAATATCAATTTTTTGCAGTCTATTTTAAAATAGAAAAATAAGAATTATATCAAAATAAGTAAACAAGAGAAAAATTATGAAAGAAAAGATCTTTGCTCACAAATTTCTGTTGCCTGTTTGAATTGTTTATTAGTGATTTATAATCAGTTAATTTATGTACTCTAAAATTTTATTGGAATTAATTTTCCCTTTGGCAGGTCCAACTCTTATCCAGGCTCTGGTCTGTTATTCTTTGTGATTTCTTGGTCCCCTTTAGCAGCTAAAGCAAAAAGATCAGGTTTTAATCATTGCTATTAACGAGAAAAATTGTTCGTTTATAGACGAAATCGAAATAATGGCAAAAATAGTTCCCTGATCCGAAGATGAATAACGTGTCTGCTGTTAAGCCGTTGCTTTCTCAAAGCTTAATACGACCGTTCGCAATCTTTTGTTTTGCCAAAAAAGTTCTATTTCAGCCGTGGAATAAGTGTTACTTCATACGTGTGAGCAAATCAAACAATATCATCCTTTTTTGACAATTTAAAAAACAGGTAACGATAATTAAAATCCGATAATTGGTATGCCTGCTACGTCAAAACTTACTTTCTAGTATGCCTGCTAGGTATTATGCCTGTTGCGCTTTCACCGTTGCTTGAGGGGCTTGTTTTCTGGAATTTTTTTCAAAAACAGTCCCCCCCCCCCCCCCCCATACTTACTGACTGTCGTCAGGTGGTGCATTGTTGTGATTTGGAGTGATGGGTGTTGTAACTGTAGTCGGGGTGTCCAAAGAGAGTGTCCTGGGCTGGTCAGGCTCTTCTTCTGGCGTTAGCTCATCCTCCAGCTGCAGAGGTCGAGGGTGTCCGTCCCTCCTCAACACTATCCGGGACGACCTCCTGCGTCTCATCGACACTCGCAACAATTTCTTTCCGGTCACGCTGAAAAAATGAAAGCATCACTCACGATGTCAAATAAATAGTAGTTCTGAAAGAACTTCCTTCCATTTTTTTGAAAAAAAAAATGTAAATTTATTGACATAACCCGGAGATTGAAGATTACATGCTTTTAGATATAAATTTACAAATCAACAAAATATAGCCAAAAAGTAATAAACGCAAGAAAACAAAAAGTCTATATCTCACTGCCGTTAAAACCATTTTTTGTAATAGGTTGCTTCTTGATGAATTTTGGGTTCAATCAAATTTGATTATCAAAAAATGATTAATTCAAAATTACTGCAAAAATTTCAATTTTTCAGACTTTATTGTCTCATTATGTTTTATACGTGCCGATGTGTTTTGTTAAAAATTGTTCAAATAATGAGAATTTAATTATTGGTCCGTAAATTATAATCAAAAAATATAGCGCTCATGGATACTAGCTGAAAAAAAAAAAATATTGAAAAAAGGGCGATAATATTAAAGTGTCGATGATAATTCAAGCTTTTTTATGTCCAATATCTAATTAATTTCGCGACAAGCAAGAGTGTGACATCTGGATGCTATACTTTTTCCCGTTGAAAACTTTGTTTTACCCACTTGGCGCGGTAGTGACACACTTGCTTGCGACAACAAAGGGCAAGAGTTCATTTCCAGTCAAGACTGATTTTGTAGTAAACTAAAAAGTTTCGGCCAATTTAGACTATCGCATGTTTTTTGTCTGCTTAGATCCCGCAGAAATGACTATTTAAATCTCCTTGTAAGTTTTTAATGGTGCAAATACTTTTTTTCCAGGATTTGTGGCTTTTGTGGCTTTTCAAACTTTTCCAAATCACTATAAAATCCTTATTTTTACCACATTTTCTGCGCAAAAACAGGCCAAGAAGGCGTTTTTAGGCTTTTTTGGAATTCTTTGATTAAAAAATCGCGTTTTTTTCGGCGCGCGCTGTACCTTCAAAATTTGTATATTTTGGCGCTCAAGGTGCCATTAGAAAAATTTTAGGGTCAGTCAGCCAGAAATGGATATCTCAAAATAGTACAAAGGAACATTTTTTTGGGTCGGCAGGGGGTCGAATTACCGAGGAGGGAGAAGGAGAGTACCCGCCACTAAAACGCTTTTTTTTTGCTCAAAACTTTCCAAAAAGTGTCCAAAAACGGCAATTTTGACCTGTTTTTTTTTTAATGGTCAAAATTTTAAAAAAAAGGCTAAAATTTTTTAAATTTTTTTTTGAAAATTTGCGTGTTTTTAGGCATGTTTTTTCAAATGTTGTTGTATATATTGGTGCGATATTTAAATTCTGACAAGTGTACCTTATGCCGATAGCACCAATAGGGGCTGAGATGAGGATTGCGACTACGGCCACTGTGATGATGACCTTGCCATAGTCCAAGTGGGCACCCGCCTCATCCAAATCCGACTGCCACTGCTGTCCTATGGTCCCATTGGCAGAATCAGAAACATTTCCAAAGTGCTGTGAGTCAAAGTTCAGTTTGGCAGTCTCATATTGTTCTCTGAAATGACATGCAAAAGACTCGCATTACCAACACTGTTATTATTCGAAGGGTAAGAAGGATTTTGGGCCTCGCACGCGCGCGCGTGTGTGTGTGTGTGTGTGTATTTTTCACGCAAATGGTAACGTGAATCGCATCATATTAAAGAGTTTGCAGTCGTTACTCGGATTCTAAACAGAGATTTTATCATTATTAATTTTTGCGCCACGATAAATGAACAGTGATCGGCTTCTATTTCTGCATGTGTTTTGTGGATTAGATCTTAAATGACACGAAATTGTTTTTGACGGCCGAATTTAAACACCCTTTGATAGTTGAACGATGTCCACGCCTTCCCAACCAATTCAAAATATTTTACATTTTCAAAAAGTACCCCTGGCGCCAATACATTCAAAACTTAAGGGACAATGTGCACTGAAACATAAACGCAACTTTTTGGTCAAACCTTTTTAAACAGCCGGTGACCAAAGTTTTTGGTGTCACATTTTTAAAAAAAATTATTAGAAAGTTCAGCAAATCAATGTGGTTCCTCGATTTATGGTACTTAATTTTTCTGAAGATACCATCGGAAATATCACGATTCCTAATTCAGCAGAATTTGGTATACTTTTAACCTTTTAAAAACATTTTCTCGAACCTGGCTATATCCAGGGGTATGCTGCCCATAGCTGCCTGGACAGTGGCCTTGGGTATCCATGCTATGGCCACGAATACCCTCTCCCGGATGTTGAGACCAGCACATGCCACCGAGAGGAAAGTCGCCAGGAAGCGGGCAATCAGGCCTCCACTTATGACTCCCAGGGAACCTGAATCAAATAAATCCAGAAAAATTTCCACACAAAAAAGCTGGAGCGGACAAAATTAATTAAAAAGAGCAAATGACCTGCAAAAAAATTAACAGTGCAAAGGTTTAGTTTTTCAGTCAGATGCTATGTCTCAAGGTTGCCTGCAAAACGGACCATATGGTCTTATGATGTTCTCTCAGGCTTGAGACTGGGTCGAAACTGTACAAAACTTTGTATTATTTTGATCAGGCGCCGATCTAGGAATTTCTCGAGGGGTGGGGGGGGGCTTAGAGAGCTCTCCCAAATCACTAAAACATTAAAAAGACACTAGATTGACCAAATTTTCTGCACCGCAGGCCACTTAATAAAATATTTTTATGCACAGACCAAAAAATCGCGTTTTTTCGGCGCGCGCTCCCCCCTCAAAATTACTACGTTTTGGCACCAAAGGCGCCTTTAGAAACATTTTAAGGCCAGTCATCCAAAAATGGATATCTCAAAATAGTACAAAGAGGGGACCCTTTGGGTCGGCAGGGGGTCGAATCCCTGAGGGATGGGGGTCCGCCCCCCCCTAAATCCGCTACTGATTCTGATTATAAACCTCAAAACAATTTTTTATGGTTATTAAGATTATTATTTATTTCAAATTTACACGCAAATTTGTTCGAAAATGGCAGATTGCTTAGTTTAATAAAATTTTTCTGTAAAATTAATACAGTACGGGTCGAAAATGTTAATTGAATCGATCGCTTACTCTCTCTTAACATTAATCTATGTTGGTCAATCAATGGTATAAAATACTTCCGAGCATTGCGTAATTGGCATTACTCACTGAGTATGAGTTTGGGGTCTGCTAGCACCTTCAGATCTATCTCGCTGCCTATGAGCCCGAACAGCAGAGGCATCAGCGAGTTCCATGCGTGACCGAACGCATTACCCACCGGCACCTTTGTCTTTCGGTCCCAGCCCAGACCTATAATAAACAATAAATTGTTTCCAAACGATATCTTGTCACACAAGCATATATATAAAGTTACAAATACAAATCGGAATAGTATGGAAGAACACCATTAAGCAGCGGCCCGTTTTCAGGTGTCTCGTCCTAACAATAGGTAAGTCAAACAAAAATTACCCACAAGCAAATGCGTGGCTATTTGATTCCATTTGCCATATTAATTTTAAAAAGACCCTCTTTTGGCACTATTTCACCTCCATTTTCAATTGCCGGTTCCGCATTAAATCTAAAAACACCCCCTTAAAATGTTTTTAACCGCATCCAATTTCGTCTACTTGACCTAATAATGTGTTTACAAGCGCTTTTGGGACGACTGTGCATTTGCTAAAAATAGGAGTGGGCCCGAGAAAACTAATAAAAGTGATTCCAAACAGCCATTTGCCTGCATTCATTCATTTTTTTGCAAATGATTTCAGATCATAAAAGTCGCAAACTTTTCAAAAAACCACCCAAAAGTTTTTAGCGGATCCCCTTCTCCATATGGAAACGGCCGGACTAAATGGGTTAATACGTTGTTTGCTTGCAGTTGTTTCACTTACGAGAGCAAGAGTCTTAAAACGGGAACTAATTTTTTTTCCGAATACAACTTTTCTTGCAATTACTTCTTTTCTTGTCAGCTCTTAACAACTTGTAGGCAATTTCCCACTTGGACAACGAATAACGACGTCGACTTTGATCTCTATGTTTTGGAGTTCGAGTCTTCGCCGGGCCTTGTTTTTTTTCAGTGTATGCAATTTAAAAAAAAATTGGTACAAATTGAATTGTCGGACTTTCGTTTGCTCGCTCAAGTTTTTTCGGCTAAATTGCTACACCACGGATTTTTTTTTGTGATGAAAGTAACTTTCATTGCAATTGCAATTGCAACTGTTGTTTATTCTAGTTTTAGGGAGGATGCCAAATATTTTTGTCAATGTAAAATCATTTTTTCTTTTCTGTTCATTTATTGTCTGCTCCTTATATTAAATCTTTTTTTTTTCGTGTCTGCTCATTTATTGTCGGCTTTATTGCAACATCACTGATTTTTTTGCACTGCAAGCAATTTTATTTTTAGCTATAAAATTTTAGTTTATTGTTCACGTGGGACTCAAAACTTCATTGTTCAAGATTTTTTCCGTTTTTAATCGGCTTGTTTGGTTCGAATGAACTGCTATTGAAACATTAAACAATTTAAATTTTGGTACATTTAGTTTTTTTTCGAACTTTTTTTTTGTACTTCTTATATTTTTTATGTTTGTGTTGTTTTGCAAGTTGTGCGAAGCTCCGTTTTGCTTCTGTCTTGATTGTGTGACCAGTACTTATCATAGATTACGCAATATGATAAAAATTCATAACTTTGGCTGTTTATTCTCGCTTTTTCCACAAATGTTTTTCGATAAAAAAAATTGGTAATTTTCAGAGTTTAATTAAATCAATGCTAGAAATGGTGAAATCCCATTCATACCAATGTTCATTTCTGCCAAAATGAAAAATCGGTCCCTTTTGTATCAAAATTATTCAACTCGTTTTCTGATTGGTCGAATTGTGAGCCAACGAATTAATACATTAATTTTCTACTGTTCAAACAGAAGAAAACTAAGCAGAAGAATAGTCACCGCCGCAGTCGCGCCAACGTGTTGCGAGCTTGCCAACAGAGGGTAGGACTCTATACGAAAATTAGAGCCGGTTATCGCCGCGAAGCGGCGACGCGTGCGTAGTGCGCCCACCGGTGACTTAAACCAAGAGCTTTAAATAGTCGGCGTAGTAGTTTTTGGCCAATTGAATGTTTTTAGTACTAACGCGATTAATTTTTTATTTTGGTACAAATGGGACTGATTTATCATTTTGGTACTTGTGAATACCCACCGCTAGAAATCATAACTACTGCATGGTTTTAGTGCGCGTTGAAATGCGCCAAAGTTTGTTACGTGACGGATCTTGTTAACTATTTCCCCCCTCCCCTTATTTCGATTTTCAGAAATTCAACTATGGCGGGCACATTTTCAATAGTTTAAAACAATTTTCAGAAAATATTTATATAGTTAAAATTTTTGCGTTGGTAAAATATAAATAGTGAGTAATACAAATACGAACGCACGAAAATGAAAACCCACTTAATCGTTGACATTTTTGAAATGCATATCGTATACAGAAATGGTTGTCAAAAATAATACATGCTTAGGGGGGATAGTTAACAAGGTCCAAAACGGGGGGGGGGGGGGATAGGTAAAAAAATTCCATGTGACATTGCAGTATGCAGACAATCTTGTCAAAAAACATCCCAATAAGCATACAAAACATTTAAATTCTGTTTAAGAGACCATTTCGCTAAATTAGAATTATCTTTAAAATCCCCAGGTTAAAACTTTTTTTTCCAAAAAACTTATCTGAAATCTTGTTTATTTTTGGTTTTCGGAAAGTTACTGCGATAAACTCAAATAATTGTTAAAAAAAGCCTTCTTAGTCATTTTATACCAATTAGATCAGAATTTTATCTTACTGACGAGTACAAAATGAATGGAGGTTGTATTTTTACAGACCGTACACTGCGCCAGTTAACCCATTTGATTTCACAGCTTTTTTTGACATGCAATGTATGCTAGTTCGAGTGTGTTGTTTATATAGCCGTCTATAGTTGAGTTTTCTATAATTGCTTTCTACCAGAGGCTGCAGAAAACGGTTGCGTCCTTCAAGATGAATGGTCGAATGTTAGAATTTAAAATTCAGTTTTTTTCAGCCAGTTAGAATTGTATATTCAACAATCTCAAAGAGATCGCGATAATTTCTAAGAAAACAGATTAATCCAGACCATTAATATTATTAATAAATCTGTAGAAAGTAAGCAGAAACGTGAAATTTGAAATGAAATCGGGGTCTTATGCACAAAACGGCCCAAAATTAAAATATTTTTATCTTTTGGCTAAAACTAATGCGGACGAATTTGATTGGCTAATATTAGCCAATCAAACTTAAGCAACATGGCCAGGCATGTCAGTCAACCGTTTTAGTAGAAAAAAATATTAGCCAAACTTACTGAGAAAGTAAATCTTAATCAAATAATAAAATTGATTTCATGTTTTTTGTTCAGTAAAATGGTTTCAACGCAAAAAAAAACCTTTCGTTTTAGTCAATTCGGTCAATAACTTATCTGCTTCAAGTTTTAATTGAAACGCCGGACCATGTTGTTTGCATTTGATTGGATATTGAACCAAACAGATTGAACCACATATTGACTTAAGATCAAGATTTAGAAATATTTATTTTGGGCCGTTTAGTTCATAAGACCCTGAAATCTAAGTCGGGTTTTGCAAAAAATTTAAAACCGATTTAAAAAATTATTGTTTATCTGCAAAAATTGTGCAGCAAATCTTTGCAGTGCTGCTATATTTTATTTACAGTAAATATTCACTTCCGTTCTGCACTAAAGTTGTTTGGCCAATAGAAACATCTAACGTTTCTGATTATTTAAAAGTTTTCTATCATTCGACACCTGCATCAAGTGAATACCCCCCCAAAAAAATTTTTAAGTTTTGAAACAACCCTCATCTATGCCATCATGTTTTTCCTATCGAGCAAAAATCCGAAAAAATTCACCCAACAATCTTAGAAACTAAAGATTTCTGGATAGCAAAATCTCATATTTGAATTATTTTGACTGAAGGAATTTATAATTATTTAGCTGCAGCCTTAGCTCATTTTACAGCTCTTTCGGTGCTTTATTTTGCGTACTTCTAGCAAAAAAATTTGATTTCACGTTTGTTTTCCAAGGCTTCACTACATGAGCTGATTATCTTTTATGAAGACCCTAGAAGTATGCCTTAAAAATATTAGACTAATTACTCTTGTAATTCATAAAACTAAGGTCAAGTCACTTTCTTGTGGTTGTGATATCTACTGATCTTACATCTTTAAAATGTTGAAAATTTTACTTTTAACTTTTAAGTTTTAATATAAATAATATAAATTCTATTGTTTTTGACACCATCCGCTCATAGCCAAAATCAAAATTCAGGTGATACAATTTGAGTCTTGTGGGTTACTAATCAACCCAATGACTTCGATTTAATTCAATTTGCAGTGTAACCGAGTGTGGAATAACTCATCAAGCTTCAAGCATCATTGAAAAAATTCTGCAAAAGCGCAAAATATTTACTTGAATGGTTGTTAAAATTGGCAATTTTTAAACCCCGAAGTTTTACCAAAAAAGATTGCAGGTGAGATATTTTTTCCAGTTGAATTCAGAGAGACAATATCTCCATGGATGTATAAAAGAATTCCTAGAATCCTAGGAATATATCATTTTGATCAGGGGCGGATCTAGGATTTTTTCGAGGGGGGGGGCGGATTTTCAAAAATTTTTCGAAAATTTTGACGACCTTTTTTTTTTATTTCGACCAATTTGATTTTCCAAATTAATTTAGAGCTCGTCTAAAGCACTAAAAGGTCCCTGTTTTGGCCAAATGTTCTGCGCCGCAGGCAAATTTTTGAAAAAACGGGTCAAAAAAGCCGTTTTTAGGCACTTTTTGAAAAATTTTGACCAAAAAAATCGCGTTTTTTTGGCGCGCGCTCCCCCTTAAAGTTAGTATATATTGGCGCCAAAGGCGCCTTTAGAAAAATTTTAGAGTCGGTTGGCAACAAATGGATTTCTTAAAAAGTACCAAAGGGGGGACCCTTTGGGTCGGCAGGGGGTCGAATCACTGAGGGGGGGGGGGGGGGGGTTAGGGGGCGTCCGCCCCCCCGCTCCCCCCCTAAATCCGCCCCTGATTTTGATCGCCAAAAAAAATTGTTCTGAATAAAAAACACCCTGAGCGCAAGCTTTCCATTAGTTCCTGAGAAAATTGGAAAGAGAAGGACAACACTTTGATTTTATAAATGTTTTCTGCACAACCGAAAACTCTCGGTGAAAACAATGTATCACATACGAGATGCCATAGTAATTGGACAGCTTGAATGGAATTTCAGGCACCAGCGGATTTAGTGGTAAGGCAGGGGGGCGGACATCCCCCCCCCCCTCCTCAGGGATTTGACCCCCTGCCGACCCATAGGGTCCCCCTTTGTACTATTTTGAGTTATCCATTTTTGGCTGCATGGCCCTAAAATTTTTCGAAAGGCGCCTTTGGCGCCAAAATATAACAATTTTGAGGGGGAGCGCGCGCCGAAAAAACGCAAAAAGTTTCCAAAAAGTGCCTAAAAACGCCTTTTTTGGCCTTTTTTCAAAAATTTTCCTGCGGCGCAGAAAGTTAGGTCAAAACAAAATAGGTTCTTTTTAGAGATTTGAAGAGCTCTCAGAAAATCAAATCGGTCGACCAAAAAAAAGTCGACAAAAATTTTCGAAATTTTTCTGAAAATGCGCCCCCCCCCCCCTCTAAAGAAAAATCCTAGATCCGCCCCTGATTTCAGGCACAAATTGTCACAGATGAGAGAAAAGAAGACTAGTTCAGATGAGTTGTGTGTATCTCTGCGTGTTGAAAAAAATATTGCAGGCTACAAGCTATAAAACTTTTAACTAGCGACATAGAATTCCTTCATGGGACACTTTTATCTCAAGGCAACTTGTTTCATAGCCCTTAGGACCTGGCCATGTACATCAAAAAAATAAACATTTTCATTTTGCATCACAACATGTCTTATAAGTCGTAGCAAAAACCATTACATTTCCAAATTGTAAGACTTGAAAGCACATTACGTACTTTTACTTTATTCGAATTTCAACCGTAAGAAAAGGGACTTTTTTATACATATGTATGTTTGCTATCTGTTTTTTAATTGAGAAAAAGATGAAGATCGTTTGCCTTTATTGAAGTATTTGCAGTGACTTGCCTGTGAAGAATGCGCAGCAGAGTGTTCCGAGCGCACCTGCTCCTGCCAAGTGCAGCTTCCGAGCTCCGAACATGAAGAGAATGCCACTTCCGAACAGCATCAGAAACCTTAATTGATAAACTCGGTTGTCAATGTCAGAAAAAAGTCTCAAAATCTTCTTTGTCTCATAAAAAAGTAGCGTCTGTTTTTCAGAAGCAAGCTCTAGATTTGGCGCAATGACAGAAAAAAAGCTTTGAATCTCTGACGTTGCTATGATTTTGAATCTTTTTAAAAATGCATCTGCCATTTTAGAAAAAAATACAAGCCATTTATTTAGCAATTTTTAAGAAAATGGTATCCAGAAATTTTAAAGTCGGTGAACCGCCTCAACCATTTCAAATTATCTACTATCTTCTGTGAATGTTTTTTTTTACAGTTTTGGCGTTCATATATTTCTCACCTGGCCATGGTGTGGTCTGGCTGTTTGGGTTTCGGTTTTCCCTGGAAATCCACTTCGTTCTTGTCGGGAGGGGGGACGTACCATAATACAATACCCACCAACAGAGACGCTCCCACACCTAAAAATCAACAATGACTCAATTTGGTTATTTTGACTGTACGAACTCCATATCTTTGATTTACTTAAGTTTGTGCTTAGATCTATTAATAATCAACTTTAAAAATACTACCTTAATTGAATTTTGTAATTTTGATAGTCAAATAGTGAAAAACCGCAGATACAAAATAGGCTATTTTTAACAACCACCCTCGAGTACAAAGCGACAAAAATTTGTCCATTCGGTACTGGTCTATAACTCTATGTGTTATACCATTAAATCAGTAGGAATAACTTAACCCGAGTCTAATTTTTTAACGCCCACTAAACCATCGATTTTTTACATGAAATTGGTATATTTTGAACTACTATTCACTAATTACAATTTTTCTTTTAACGAAGGGGTCAAAAATCGTTTACCAGTGGGATCCGATGAATTAGTTAATTAACTTAAATTCGAGATAATAATTAGCTCAAGAAAAATAAAACTTCAAATCTACTTGTCTCGTTGCTCATCCATCATCCCGAAGCTCGATTAAAGTTACATTTAACTGTAAAAATAGATCAAGCTGTAGAAAAAATTATTCATTTTTCATGATATATCTTGAAGATATATCATGAAAAATGAATCATTTTTTCTACAGCTTCCAATTCTCATTCTTCTGCTTATCCTTGATTGTCTAATTATTGTTTCGGGCGAAACATTTTCATTTACCTTTTTGACAGGTAAGAATCTAGCTACTGAAAAGAAAGTCGTTAACAACTAGGGAAATGGAGAACAGTCAGCTATGTATTGTTTCAAAGAAAACCGCTGTTGTGCTTCCTTTTTAATATTTCAAAAACTTTTCATTTTAATTTACAGAGCTGCAATCTTTTGTTTTCGAGCGCTCCCAAAATACACTCATGCTTCTTTTTGCTATCATCGCCTTGTTGAATAAATGTCTTTTAGAGGGCTGTGAATTTGCCCCCTAAATTCGTTTTCACAGCCCCTGATGCCTAATCACGTGATGGCCTCAATAAGCACTGAATTGCGCAGTTGTCCCGGGTTACCTGTCCATGGAAGCCCATCCCTGGAGCCATCCCTGTTTTCTATAGAGAAATGTTTTTTTTTTTCTAATGGTATTGGTATACATATTTTGTTTGTTTGAGTTGGCGTTAAACCAGGAGAAGTACTGACCTAAGATGACCTCTAGGGGTGCCCGGAGTAGCTCTAACCAGATGCCGGAGGAGTGGTCTCCGAAGGTGATGCTCAACACGATGGAGAAAGCGGAGATGGCGATGATGTCGTCTATGCTCGCAGCCGCAATGATCAATGTCGGTACCTGGATAAAAATTGAGACGTTTGGTCATAGTTTGAGATATATGGTCATTGTTTGGTCATATAATAATCAAATTATGTTCACGAATCCAGAACTGTTTGACATTAAATGCATTAATTTTCATATTTTGCTCATGGCATTCATAACCACAAAACAAGGGATGCTATTTCAATTTTGGTAATAGCACTATCTTCATTAAATTTTAAGGAAGATATTACTCGCTATGCTTAATGAGTATATTTAATATATTTAATATTGCTCGCTAATATTTAAAGACAGTTCATTAATTTAGACCCTATTATCCAAAATTGGGAGATTTTGAAGATACTTTTTAAAAGAACACCTTATGCATGTGTTTTGTAACTATGATATGACATCTTTCCTTATATAGCATTGTAGTCTGCATTAATCACTCTTGTGATCAGCAAGGGCTTTGCAACCTGATATAAGACTTTTTCCGTGAACAACTTTGATATCACAGGAAGATCAAATTAGAAGGAATTTTGAAATGGTAAACTTATTTAACAGCTTCAACATACATGTATATGCTTATAAAGGGATCATGATTGCTTTCTGACAAACAATTTTCCAAACAATTTTCTTGGTGATTTAGCTATACTTCAAATATGGAAGACTAAAACAGTAATGCATATTCAAAGTTTTTAATTATGCATGTGAATGTGTTCCAAGATTTTGGATGACTCGTGTTTTTAATTTGTTATGTTATAATTTTGTTTGGCTTAAATGGTTTTGGTTTATTGTATCATTTCAGTTACTTCATTTATCACTTTGGAAAAGCGGAACTAAATTTTTTGCGCTCGAGTGCTCCGGAGAAGACATGAAACTTGGATTGGAAAAACATCATAGCTTCATAGTTTTGTACGACCTTTTTTTTCCATTTCATCGGGGTGTTTACCCTAAATTTGTCATATTGCTTCAATGCTAACAATTTTATTTTGCAATAATTGAATAGTGTTTTTTTGGGACAAACGTTTGAATGTTCTTTTTTCATTTTATCATTTTTTTCGACCTGTGATTTTCGGCTAGCTCTACCATTTTCTGTTTAAATTTAATCGCAAAGTAGTGAGAAGCTCTACTTTATCTCTGCGTTCGAATTTGTAAACAGAGTAACGAACCCCTTGGTCCACCCCGTAGCCGAAGGCTTGGAGGCCCAGTAGTGAGGGAACCACCACAGCCGGAGACACAGCCGCTGAAACAAAAGGATTCATTCAATCCAGCTTTAAAAAAAATTTGTAGTTCCAGAATTTTGCATTTTCAAGTTTTGCTCGAACCAAAAAGGGCCTCCTGGTGGCATTAAAAAAATACTTTCCAGGAATCTTTTCACCATCCAGGAGCGCGATTTCGTTCTTGCTTCTCGTTTTGAAACATGCTGCGATTTTGTATATTTAGCATTCAGACAAAGATGATGGTGCAAAAATGAAATGAGGGGTCGAATGACACTTGAAAAGAGTACCTAGAATGAATCCGAGCATGAGTGCCCAGAGGAATGGTAGGCCAAGTAGGAAGTAGGCCAGCATAGCCACCACCGGTCCCTCCGTGATCACTCCCGGACACGCGGCCAGTCTAACCACCACACTCTTCATCTCAAGCACTCCTATGCAAACAAAGGGCTATTAGTTCACTAAATCGACGGCTAAATTGGCAGAAAGTGTTGAAATGAGATCCAAAAATTGTGTGCAACCCGGGCCGAGGGGCGCTACTTAAGGATTGCGCGACCGAAATTAGGGGATTGTGCGAGCAAACTTTTGCAATCGCTCAGTGGTTTTTGAGCAGCGCAAAATCGCGGACTTGAGTCGCGACGGTCGCGCAAGGTCTGGAAAATTGTATACAAACGGATATTCAGCAGAAACTTACCTTGTTTAGGATTAGTGGTTACCTTTGGGGTTGAGGCTGAGTCCGGCTCGGATGAGGATGGTGATAAAGGAGATGTCCCTCAACACCTCCTTCCAGTACGGCTCCACGTCCTCTATTAGGTCGAACTGGGCCCTCAGATTACTCACTGCTATCCCCGCCACCAACATGCCCAACAGGGGAGGCAACCGCATCAGAGACACTGCAACAGAAGCGGCAGCACGTTTATACCCATAAGGTGAAAGGACATAGGATATTTCTGCGGAAGGGTTGGTTTAGGAGAATTTTTTGAAAAATATGACTTTTTTTTCTGTGAAACGAACCCCATTGCTTTTTAATATGGATGCAGGACAAATTACCCTATTCCAGGAAGGGAAGAATTGAAGTATGGCGGAATCGGACTCACAACTTTAAAGTCTATTTCATTTTTTTATTCAATTTTTTTCAGTTTATTCACTGCAAGTTTTTCAGCGTCTGATTGTATATTCATATCATGATTCAAATCAGCACCTCTTCAACAGCATAAACCATTAAAACCTCCTTTAGAAGTATGGTCCCGTTAAACTACCAGTTTTCCTAAATTAAAACCAATAATAGAAGTTTCTAAAGGTACTTTCTAAGTTTTGCCAGTGAACTGATATTTTTGATTATTTCGTTTTAGTTGGCTTATCTGACGAAGAATTGTATACAAATGTTTCTGTAATTTTCATCCACTTGAAGTACTTCAAGTATATTTCAAGCGGTCTGGTGACTGGTACCACACTTCTAAACCAGCTTCTGAGTGGCACTCATCAAAAACGGTGGTGCCATACTTCTAAACGAGTACCGGGTGAATTTTTAATTTAGTCAAAATCTATATTTAGTCGGCAAACTAAATCAAAGATTGTACCAAAAAAAATCATCGTAACACTATTGAAGATATCGACGCCCTGGTTTCAAATGTAAAAAAATGGTTTACTCTCGATTAATTTTTCTGTCCATTTTGTCGATTAAAAAAACTTCTAGGAGTTTAAAAATTTCCAAATTGGCCTTCATTTGCACTAATTTATGCGCACTGGTAAGACCTTATTTATGAGGTTGAAAATGTAACGCGATTTTTTTTATGTGTAAAACTACAAAACCGTGATAGCTTAAAATGAGGCGCGCTAATCGGTCTTATTAGTTTCGTACTCGATTTTTCACTCAATTTTTTCACTCGATTTGTGATATTGTTCAAAACATTTATTTTTTTCGTATTTTTACCAACAACTTTCTGATACCAATTCAGAGGCAGAAGGAACATTTGCTCTCATATATGAGCAAACTTGTTCGGTTTTTGCTTTAGTTTTAACTGACTTGGTTTCATGTATCTTCGTAACTTTTCAATTGATCAATCTCATCTCTTTTACATGCTACTGCCAAATATTTGTCTAGTGCACAAATATTCACCACACTTGTTTTTTTATTGGCTATGTTTTTCTTATAGATTTCTGGGGTTATGGTTGATGTTTTGTCGTTTAAATTGCTGACTTATCTTTTTCAAAGGACTTATCTTTTTCAAAGGCAGTAGGTTTAGATGTTACACGCTTCGTCTTTTTTCCGGCCTTTGAAAAAAGGGGAGAAATCTTGTGTTTTTTTTGTACGCATAATCAACTACCACAAATAATTATCATGATGAGTCAAGTGATAAATTATATTGAAATTATATTGAAATTACAGTTGTGATTCGCACGACAGTTAAAACCTTCGAAAATGGTTTCTCAGTGTCGAGAAAAACCAGTTTAAAGTTTTTGATTTTTAGAGTCTATTTTGAGCAAATAAAGCGAGCGAGCAGGCTTATTTTGTTAATGAAAGGCGCCTAGTATAGCTTATGTCCACCTAATTTTAGCTGTACTCTAGTAAAATTAGCTGTTAGAGTTTTTCACGGCATTTTGGAGGTAAAAAGATTCAAAAAAATGAGGAAACGCTTCTTAATTTTTTTGTTTTTCTAGTAATTTTCTCAGAAACTGTTGTCCAATTTGCTTTTTTTACTATCAGTCTGGACATTGCCTAATTTCTAGCTTTTCGCTCAGATTCTTTTATCGCGCCACGTAGAAAAATGACACTAATTTGAAAAAAATGTTGTTGTATTTTTTAGTCTATGGTCGGAACATTCTGTGCTACTTGCACAAAAACCGGCTATAATTATTTCAATATATTTACTGTTCCATATTTTGAAGACAATAACTGAGTATTTGAGCTAAATTAGCTGAATTAGCAGAATTAACGCGCGATATATTTCGTGCTATTATTGTGTAAGCTCCCATTTTATCTGGCTCAAAAACCGTTTAAAACTGAATAAGAACATGCTTGTTGTTCTTTTTCACACGTAACTATTTGCGTAATATATAAATTTGACATTCAAATAGCGTGTGGGGATGGATGAACTATTATTTTTTGAAGATTGCACTTTTTTTCAAGTTGAACGCAATTTCAAGACATTCAAGGGTAGTCTGAAAACTCAAAGCGTCGACCTGCTACGAGCAGTCTTGTTCATGTTTTGGAATATCCTGGTGAAACCTGAATGTCCGGGCGGATCGTAATACAACTGATAATAAATCTCTAATGAATAATTTTTTCTTTAGATTGGCTTGGCCACAACTCGATGCAAAATTTTGTAAAATTTTCTTTTTTTCGGCTAGGGTCATATCAACCTTCGAACTGAAATAGACAAAAAAATTTTTGGATCTGTTTTGAATAAATATATATTTTTCTTTTACTTTTTTGTAACATTTGTATCACAAGTGGCGGGAATTTTTGCTTCACCCATGCAGTTTTAGTTTTTGTTCGATTTTCATCGATAATAATATTTGCTCATCAAGATAATGAGACTTCAGACTCTAATAAGTTGTATTAACAGTGTTACCAAGGAATCCGGACAGTCGGCTGATGATGTATAGTGCAAAGATGTATACTTCTGGTCTGGCATCATCTGGACCCAGCAGACCATAAAGGGCACCCATCCCAATCAGGAAGCCCACAAATCTAAAACATTTTTCTATAGTTTGAATCAAAGTAATTTATAGTGACATCACCATGGTGCATTTTCAGACTGTTTTGCAAGTGAACTTTAGTTTGTGGATCATTTGCTGCAAAGATTTCAATGTAAACATGTACAAGGCGCAAATTACCATTTTCTCGAGGATGCTTGAAGAGATTTTGAAAAAAAAACTAAAATTTTCGAACTTTTTAGGTTGAAGAAATGGATTTCCCGAGCTCTTCGATAACCTAAGGAAACCTGTATTTTGACCAAACTTTCCGCGTCGCAGGCAAATTTAAATGAAAACAGACGTTATTTTACACTTTTTGGAAGAATTAGACCATAAAATTCTATGTTTATAATAGCATGAATTGCATGAGTGCCAACATAAGAGCTGTTTTAGATCCTTACGATCTCCACATCATAAAGTTCTTCTAGGTGATGAGAATCTCAGCTTGCTTTAGTTTTTTGTTTGCTGGTAAGTTCGGCTTAGACCAACATGAATTCGATTTAGAGTTGAACTTCTATCCTGGTTTAGGAGCTGGTGCACCACTGTACGTCGATGATTAACAATCATCGTGGAACTCATGTCGCGTTAATTCCGATTCGAAGAGGGTTATCATTTCAGCAAAAATCCTTTTTTTTCATCATCAATTAATATATTAAGGTTTCTGAGATTTGCGCAAGCACCATTGAATGGCTATCAGGCCTATTTAAGCATGGTTAATTTCTGTATGAGTAAAAGGCCAAATAGATTAAGAACCCCTAATTAGGATTCCTATTAAAAAACAGGCAAAAATCAAGTGTTAAGAAAAAAAGAATCATCCTATACCTAGTTAGCACCCATCCCACTTTTCCATGTGGGGGACAGCGGAAGTTCCAAGCGGCCTTCTGGGCCAGAGTGGCAGTGTCGTCCAGGGGGTGTTCCCTGACTCGGAAGAGGGACACCACTCTGGAGTGGATGATGTCGTGGCATATTCTGGAACACCTGCCAGGCTGTGAACTAGCTTTGGAGGCTGATTCATTGGCCACACTGCCTGAAAGTAAACAGAGATCTGAAAAAAGTTCATAGAGACATTGCTCTATAAAAAAGAACAGTTCACCGATCTTCATGACAATTTCTGGCATAATTTTTCAAAAGCAAGACCCCAATGAAACCTAATCTGAAATGAACTCTTCATGGAAAATTATTAATTGATAGAAAATTTGCTTTCTTAAATGCTCAATTGCTGCTTTTGATTGAATCGTTTGGATGATTTTTATACAGATTGGTCTAATTTTGATATTTTTTAACGCAGTCATTACGACGCCAAACTCGGTTTCATCACAGAGCGGAAAAATGTGCTCGCTCTAGTCTGGATTCTACAGACACATCTTTTGCATGTATTAGTGGTCTATGTAGCTGGATTTCTGTTTGATGAGAAATCTTCTGATTCAAATTGAACGATCGTATGCGGAATCTGGTTCAAAATTTGCAGGAAAAGAGTCCCATTCCGTAGAATCTTTCCCAGTACAAAATTTACTAAGAGTGGCTTTGTAATGGCTGCATGCGCTGAAAAGTGTTAGATGACATTTTATACGTTGCTACGTTTCGTGACAGAGTAATCTTTCTTTTTCAGATCATGAGGGGATTTGGAGTGGACTTGAGTTAGTATTAGGCCACCAAACCCAGGTTGACCAAACGTAGCTATCTCGGAACTTTTTTTATCAGAATCTTACAACTTTTTACAAAATTACGCCTCAAGAATAATACAAGATAGGTAGTTTGCTTTATCAGAAAGTAGTAACAGAGTGAATTTTCTTGGAAGATAAATGTCAGATAAATTTTTTTCGTACAAAAATTTTCTAAATCTAATTTTTATTAGTGCTTTAAAGTTTTCTTGTAAGCTTTAACTACAACAGAAAGTCTTAGTTGTAGCAGAGTTCAATAACGGCCGAATTTAACATTTTTCGGCTCTTTTCCAGTCCCCCCTTTCAAATTCAAATTTGAAAAGTCTATTTAACGTTGTCATAGTGCAATGAAATTTGGTGTGGTGAACAAATCGACAATTCTGAACAGATTTGTTCTTCATACATTACAGCGTAACATCACGCATTTAGCCGTAATAACACGTAAAACAAACATAAAACTCGATATTTTGAAAGGGGGACTGAAAAAGAGCCCATTTTTCCACTTGATTTGACCGAACTGACTTTATAGGGTTAGTTTCTTGATGAAAAGTAAATATTTTCTCACTGAGGAGCTATCAAAAGCAAAATAAATGAAAAAAAAATTCTAAAATTTTATTTTGGAATTTTTGTTCGAAATGCTTAGATTATAACCAAAGTTTGAAAACTCTTGATGCAGTCCAATACAAATTGATTTATAAACGTATTCGAGTAAAATCATAAAAAAATTCTTGCTATTAAAAATCATTATTCAAGTCTTTTCGGCGGTGTTATACTTTCTTAATTTAAAATTGGAAAAAAAAGCTATTAGAACTTTCTTTTAAGAATTGTAAGATATGCGAACTTCCCTACAAATCTGATAGAAATCTTCTCAGATAGGAGTTTTTTGTTTGTTAACCCATGAAAATTTTTATAGCTCTCTCACTGACCTGACCGTACAGAATTACCATGAGTTTTTTCTAATACATTTTGATCCTTTTTGAGATTAGGTTGCATTTTCTGTCTTCCATTAAAGTATCAAACTATATCTTGTACTTAAACTGAATAAAGTAGTTAATAGGAAGGCAATTTACACTATCAAAAAGCAAAAAAAAACTCCAAAAACGTGATCGATTTTTAGATTTCTCAGCGGAACGAAAACTTTAATTTTTGAATTTTCAATCAAAAATGTCAATCAAAATTGTTTTTGAAATTCAAAGAGCTTTTAGGTCATTTGTCTCCGAAATTGAAGTTGAAAGTTTTTTTTTAAATCAGTTTTTTTTTTCTGTTTTCTTGCTTTTACTGTCTTTCGGTTGTGTTTTTGAATGTATTATTTTTGAGAACATGAAAAAAGTAAAATAGACGCTGTACAATACAAATCCATTGAAGAAAATCAGACAAAATTTTTTTGCCATATCAAGTTTTTTTTGGGCTAGATATAAAATAAAAACATTCAAAACACAAAAGAGACGATCTATTTACTGAAAAACGAATGTGTCGTACCAGTTAGGTGCCTGAGTGTGCTCATCCACGTAACGGCGTTCAAAACGGCTTAGCCTGGATTTGAAAAATATTTCTTCTCAAACAATGATCTGCCTTGTATGTTTTCTGTTTCTTAAAATAATTTTCAACTTTGATTTCGGTTTTGAGAAGCCAAAAACTTCATATGCTTTTTTGGTTGGAGGGTTGCCATTTCAAAGTTGAAAAGCAAAAATTTCACTAGTTGTAGACCTGACCGCGTTGCTCTCCATGCAAGAAAAATAATTGTAATATATTTCAATTCAAGAAAAAAGCTTTTCGTACAATCAGTCCCTCATGAAATCTATGAAAAAAAAGCTTAATAAACATTGTCCCTTTTTGAGAAATGTGGGTATAACAACAATTTTTACTTGAACAAAAAAATTCTGAAAATTTATAAAGTTTGAGCGAATTTTTGTATGCTACAAAAATGTTTCTAAGCTCAAATAAAAGTTTTCCGATAAAAAATTGCAGACAAATTTGCAAACCTTTTGCGTATAACTCAGTTTTTCACATCAAGCAATCTCAAACTACAATAATCGTTTTGCAAACAGCCAAATTTTGAATTTTGTGCATACTAATGAAAAAATGAATTTGTGAAAAAACAGCTCACTGTTTTTAAGGACTACTTTTTTTTCTACGTGAAAGCTCACAAAATGTTTGAAAAAATTAAATACAACATTAATTTAGCTAGAAAATTTTTGAATAGATCATTTGTAAACTTATGTCAATTAAATTGTGTGTTTTCTATTAAGAGAAAACCTTACTTTTATTGTTTTTCAGAAACAACACAAACATTTAAAGTGAAACTGGAGCTTTCGCTCAAGGAAAAAACGCTAGTCTTACATTTTGCAGATATGAAAAATTGGCTATAAGAGGTCTCACATAATTTTTTCCGTACGTATGAAACTGTATTTCCTTTTTTTTTAAATCCTCAACTAACCTTTTTAAACCAGTTTCTTTGATTTTTCTAAAAATTTTTTGATTTGAGATGAGCATTTTGAAAAAGAAATCGATTTGACTTCTTTTAATGATTGCTTCTATTTTTGTTGTTTTTGTTTGAATGATTGTAATTTCTACATGCATGCGAGAGCAAACTAGTTGGAATGATATCAAATTTTGCAGTGATATCAAATTTGTTTTCAATTTTTTCTGCGAAGTAGATCACTTTGTATTTTTTATCATGTCATTCGATGCTTGTATACAAAGCAGCTGGGAATTTGTTCATCCATTTTATCAAATATTTAGAGCGTAATTTCAGTTTAATCAAAATTTTTGGTGTATTTTTTTAAAAAATATATTTGTTGACCAAAAATAGCCGCTTACAGTGCAAATAGTACAGAATGTCCCGGCCATGGACTTAGAAAAAAAAACTTTTTTTTTCATATTAGTGGAGTTTTTCTGTGTGGTGTGATAAAAAGATCTAAACAAAACAAAAAATTAGGTATATTCGACAACCATAGCAAAATATGTCAATATGAAAACAGCTTGTTTTTAGAGAAAAGCTCATATAAATGTTTAAAAATTTGAAAATTTTCACAATCTTTTTTTCTTTTTTTTTGCCGAATTTTTTGATTTTTCGAAAACTTTGAGAAAAAAAATGGCGTTAAAAAACGTCAAACACTAACCTTGCTCCAGTGAAACTAAGTTTTTACGGCTTAAATAGGTTGTTGTAAGACTCCACGATGACCTTATCAGCTCGAAATTAGACCGAAAATCAAAAAAATCAAACAGGTTTTTCTCAATACTTCTTGAGAATTTTTGATGTGTTTCGAGTCACAACTAAATTGTTTTTAAAACAATAGACAGTTTGAATGGTCTGGTGATTGCTCGCGGTACATGGTTTTGCGCTGTAAAACAAAAAAAAATTTTGAGGAATTTTGAATCACGACTGAAAGCGTTTTAATATGATATATCAGACGACCTACTTCGATGATTATTTTTGGTACCTGATTTTGCGTGGAAAATCAAAAAATTTAAAACTTCCCCGGATGGAAATAATCTTCTCCCCATTTTTCACCGTCGGAAAAGTAAAGGATTTGGTTCGAAAGTTTTCAGCTTTTTGCTGCGAAGTAGATCATTTTTATTTTCTATCATGTCATTCGAAGCTTGTATACAGAGCAGTTGAGAAAATAATCATCTTTTTTTAATCCCACATGTAGCATAATTTCAGTTCAGTTTTTTTAGGTTTGTTTGCATTCATTCGAAAAAAGTCAATATGGAACAAACATAGCCGATTACTGTGTAAAAACAACGAATTTTCTGACCATGGTCTTAGAAAAAAATACAATTTTTTTCTCTTCAAAATAGTCCTTTTTTCTGTGTGGTTTGATAAAATGATCTGAACAAAAAAATATAGATTGTAATCATATTTTGGAAAGATTTAGGCAGTCATAGTCAAATAGGTAATTTGAGTCTTAAGAAAAAGACTGAAAAACACAAAAAAAAAACGTTAAAAAAATGAAATTTTTGAAACTTTTTCTAATTTTTTTGCAGAATTTTTGTTATTTTCAAATTTTGAGTTGAATTTGAGACTTTTGTTGTTTCGGCTTTTGTAACGAAATTTACGGAAATTTTGTGCTCGGGATGGTTGATTTCTTCAGACAAATTTCGACTTTTTAACTGGCCATTTTTGACGAGATTTCGCGCTATTAAAGCGTAAGCGGAGACTTACTTCGTCAATGGAAAACGTTCCAAGTTGGTTGATGAAGTTTATTTGCCTTAATTTATTCGTTACTAGGGGCTAAATCTATCACTTTGTGTTTTCTATGGCGGCTGGGGTGATGATTTTTACAAAAATTTTCAAATTTTAGAAAAATATTCTTCGTTATATTTTATGACATTACATTTTTCATGTTATTACTGCTTCATAAACCCTAAAGGAAAAGGCAGTCGGAACCTTCAGTGATTTGCCCTGATACGAACAGTCTTGTTTTTTTAGTTCATCTAAAAAATAAAAATTTAAAACCGGTTTATTTGACTTTTATGAATATTTTGGAAAGTCGAATCAAGAATGAAAATGAAAATACTGCAATATAATAATGAATCACTTGACCCATTCTGACCCAAGTTAAAGATTGGTTCAAATCTTACCTGATACGCTGTGATCTGCATGAACCATTATGGTCCTGGTTTTGGTTTTTGACTCTCTCGGATAATTTTTATTGACCTGGCTGGTTATCTCACGGGATACCAAGTTATAATCATCACCCAAACTATGTTTAATATAGATGGGAAAATAGTTCAATAATTTTCGAAACTGAACAAATTTATTAGATGAAATAAACTGAAAATAAAGGTGTGTAGTGTATCAATAGAGACTTTTTTGTGAATAAATAATTTTAGATTTGGTGTAGATCTGCATTTGAGCGTGAGTAAAAAGTAAGTAATGATGCTGCACAAGAGTAAATTTAAAACCATTCATGAAGATCGCGCAGAGTAAATTTAAAATGATGTGACCAACAAAACGCAAGAAAACATCTTTGTAAATGTGCAATGTAAGCTTAGTTTGAATGTTTTGTAATCAGATTGATATTTTGAAGGGGCCTGCTGTTTGATAGAAGTTTTTTTTCACAAAAATAAGTGACCATTGTTATCACACAGAGGCTTTTGTTTTCTAATCTACTTTTTTGCGGCCGTACATTCATTTAATTGTGATGCAGATTTAAAAGTAGTGTAAGCAAAAATTAATTTTTGAATTTGATGCTCGATTTGCTCCAAGTTTGTTGATTCTGTTACAACCGATACTAAGTCACGAAGGTTTACTAACGCATTCCAAATATACTCAACCATGAGCGGATGATTTTCTCGAGGGGGGATGGGGTTCTTATTTTCAGAAAATTTTGGAAAATTTTGTCGACCTTTATTTATAGGTTAACCAAATTGGTTTTCCGAGCTCTTAAGCTTTCTAAAAGGTCCTATTCAGCAAAAAGCTTACAATACAAATGTTTTAAAACAAACCGGCTAAAAATTCCGTTTTAAGCACTTCTTTTCTAGATTTTGACCAAAATTTTATTTTTTTTGGCTCTTGTTTCCCTTAAACTAAAATTTGATTGTCGCCTTTAGAAAAATTTTAGGGTTGGTTGGTCGAAAATGGATGTGATAATAAAATGGAACCAAAGGGGAACTCTTTGATTGGCGAGGGAGTCGAATCCCTGAAGAAGGAGGGGAGAAGCGTCCCCCCCCCCCCCCAAATCCGCGCCCATGTATTCAAATATTCTATTCGACATTAAATTTCCATAATACTCTGGACTAAAAATACCCTGATATGATATAATATGAATGCTTAATATAAATTTACTCGATTTCCTTTTTCGAATTCTTTTTTTTCAATTTATATTTCATTAGAATACGAACTTGTGAGTTTGAAATCTGAACATTACAACCAAAAACTGTAATTGGGAATTTTCCGTTCCTAATGTTGCCTTGGAAAATAAAGAAGCAGCTTTTATAAATCCGGTTTGCATAGTCAAGTTTCACAATAGAAGAATTGATTATCTTTTTTTATAGGTTTCCTTTTTTTTCCATTTTTGCCAGGCAAAGCAAGAATGAATGTTTGTCATTATTTTACAGACATTTGAAGATATCTTCCAGAAAATATCAATAATCAACAGTAAAAAAATTAAATTTTACGACGTTTTGTGAACTACGTGTGTTGTTTAATAACCAAATGCTAACGACATCTCTTGTATCGAGAAATATCTTTTTTCCAAATTAGTAGATTTGGCTAAGGATTGTAGGTGCTTTTTCATTTTCGAACCACTGATATTGGTACTTCGATTCATTTGTGCTGTTTTGCACAAGCAATCAATATTGTGTGGCATACTATTTTATTTGTTTGTAAATGTTTTTAACACTGCCTCAATTTGAACAAATTGATTTTAAAATTTGTGTTTGGAATGATGAATTTGTTGCATTTGTCGGTATAAAGTTCACAGTAAAGTAAAAAGGATTAACACCGAGCCCATTTTACAGGTAAACAGTGATGAACAGTTTAAATTGAATGGGAGGGTTTTCGACTGAACACAAAAAGCTTGTCAGATTTTCAATCGATTTACATGGATTCCGCTTCAAAAGTGTGCAAATGGTTCCTGGTAATTTGAGAGATAATGCGACTGTAGCTAATAGGAGTTAAGAACTGAGTTTTTTCTGCACCAAAACATCGTTTCCTTGTGGAAAGGTAATTAAAAACGGGCAACTTTAATTAACTCTCTGAATATTTGGGGCGCCTAAACAAATTGCCTGATTAAAATTTTTTCTTGTCATTTACCATTGATGATGTATAAATTTAAAAACACTTTGATAGAGACATCAAAATTTGTTCAAGATGATTAAAAAGCCTTTCGTTGATTTTCCTCAATGGAGCAAGGAGGATTTTTCAAAAATGAATTGTATATTTTTTCAGAGTTGCTCCCATTCCTTAAAACACTCTCGAAACAGGGGCGGATCTAAGATGTTCTCGAGGGGGTTATTTAAAAAAAATGAACAAATGTTTTGACCTATTTTTACAGGTCGACCAAATTTATATTCTGAAGTCTTTGTTTTAATTAGTTTTAACTTTCTGATTTATTGAAAGTGATTTGTAAAACATCCAAATCGCAAATGACTTGTATGAAAATACGCTCGAGATCTTCAACTTCGAAAAAATTAGAAAGCGGCATTTCAAGGCGTTTTAGATTGTTAACTTTACTAGGTTCACCCTCAAAACCGTCGTCTGCATTGGCGCAACTACCATTTGTGTATGGCGTCACAGCTTAAACCCGAAAATCTTCCAGCCATAAGAGAGCGGAAATTTGGCGAGTCTTATCGTCGGTTCCGGTAGTTCCAGAGTGCCCATCGAAACTACATTCGAAACATTCGAAACAGCAGGTGAAATCTTATTTTCCGAAGTCAAGTTATTTTATAAAAACCCGAAAAGAAGTGACGCTCTTGGAATAGTTTGTCATTTTCTGGTGGATTCAATCACCCGTTTTTTTGAGCAACGACGATAAACAGAGAATTAAATGATGACGCGAGCTGAACACAAAAAAATGATGATCAAATTTAGAGTAATTTTTAATTCTAATATGAACAAATTTCTCTGGGAACTTAATTTTAATATCCCGCTTGAGGCTTTTGCATATAATCTTGAGAAAACTAAAAAAATATATTCATGGGAGCTATTTTTTACGAAAAAAATGGCCATTTTTCTGGCTCTATGTAGATTTGAGCCACCCAAAAATGGCCTGATTAATATTGTTCCCGTCTTTTCCCAATGATTATATTTATATAAAATAACAATTTCATATAGGCAGGATTTATATTTTATTTTATATACCATATAGGCATGATTTATATTTTATTTTATATACCATTTAGGCAAGATTTATTTTCAAATTGATTTTATAACTTCAGTGCACGTTCCATCAGGAGTAAAAACTGATGGGAGATTTACCGTTGGTCGCTATATTTCCCGGATGAGCCATTCCTACCATCATGATTTTTTAGGAATGCATAAAAATAAGTGAAAATTTGTCTTTCTAATGACTCAACAAATGGTGGATTAAGTTCTATGTTTTTGACCATCGCAATTTTACTGATCACCTGTTTCACAACGATCACAATTTTACTGATCACCCGATCAGAGCGACTTTTTTTAAAAATCTTATAACTCATTTGTCTTTATTCATGTATTAAATAAAGTCTGGTCAAAGTGCGTGTGAAAAGTTTCCGCTTCATTATGTTTCACATTGCTCGACTGCCTGAAAAATTTTGCATCATCTTAGACAAACAATTTAAATTAAACGTTGGTCAAAAAAGAAGCTAAATGTTTAGATACATAGCGAATTGTAATTTAAACTGAGCTTACAGATCAAAAACTCTAACACGAAGTGTGGCAGTTAGTTTAAACAAAAAGTTAGCTTGAAAACATATTGCTTATAACAAAATTTTATTGAAAAAAGGAATAAAAAGATACCAAATAATCTTCTTGGCATGAAATCCGTTTCATGTATTTGAAAAGAAATCTATAAATTTTTTACTCAGCCAACTATTTTAATATTTTTTGAATCACCTTTTTTACAGAACTAGATACTTAGGTGAGGTACGAGTTCAGTCCTTAGCGCATTGAGGAAGTTTATACGTTTCTCTCTCTCTCTCTCTCCTCTCTCTCTCTCTCTCTCTCTCTCTCTCTCTTCTGTCTCTCTCTCTCTCTCTCTCTCTCTCTCTCTCTCCTCTCTCTCTTCTCTCTCTCTCTCTCTCTCTCTCTCTCTCTCTCTTCACACACACACACACTCTCTCTCTCTCCCTCTCTCTCTCTCTCTCTCTCTCTCTTCTGTCTTTCTGTCTGTCTCTCTCTCTCTCTCTCTCCTCTCTCTCTCTCTCTCTCTCTCTCTCTTTTCAATAGTATTTTAGAGTTTTTTTTTGGAAAAACTAGAACTTTCATGAAATATTTGCTCTAAAATCATCTGCACTCCATCCTTAGTTATGTCTGTACCAACTTTTTGCTATTTCTTATCTCGCATAAACAGCTCAAAATTTCAAAAAGCAGAGTAAAAACACGCTTGGATTGCAAAAACCTCAAAATAACATCTGTTGTTAGCTTGTTCACCTGTATTGCTGACTGTACTCTGCAGAAAATGCAAAATGTATCGGTAGGAGATTCCCAATATGAGTTGGACACAAAAGACAGGTCTGCAACGCTCCAACTGCATCTGCTATTGAAACAGAAAGCCCAAAAAGAAGAACATTGAGGTTTAGTTGATAGTAGCTGCATTTTTGAAGTCCAGGCGCAGCCGAAATAGGCTTGAAAATTTTTCGAGCAAGCCTTGTAAAAATTTGGACAAGTTACTGTAGTTATCTGATCTACAAGACCGCAAAGTACAAATGGATTCTTCATCCAAAAGCAGGTTTAGAATGCTTTTTGTGTAAAGTCAGTACGATTTTTTTTGGAATAATTTTTGATGAAATTTCTGGCCCGAAAATGTTAACTAAAACGTTTCAAAATTACTTGTCATCTCTCATACAGGTCATCATTACTTTCGTTTGTATTTTGCTTTTGATGGAGCTTTACAGCATATAAATTTGCTAATTTTTTTTTCATATGCAAATTTAGAAAAACGCCTTTGATTTTTTTCCGATTTAGTCAGTTCAGTTTTCCTCAATATTGTAGCTTCCAAATCACTGGATTTCATTTTTGGTTTGACTTAGTCAATCCTTAACTATTGCGTAGTATTCATTCTGCTCCGCCTCAAAACGGTGCGGTAAACAGCAAACAAGCTAACGCTACAACAGAAAAACAAAATCCATCCGCGCAAAAAAACTTAACAAATTTAAAAAAGCTGACAAGTGTTAAAAAGTTAGTTGCTTAAGTCGAAAGTCTTGGTTCTAGCCCTAATTTTAACCAAGAGAAATTGGCACATACTTATGTCTTTTCATTTTTTCAGCTTAAGAAAACTTTTAAAGTACCAAAATATCAGAATAACTCATTTTCTGTGTT